AATAATCTCTTTCTCTTCTACAGTGTGTTTTAAATGACTGTTGATGTGCAAGGCGCTGTATCCAGGCAGGGGGAGACAAAGCCAGCCAGGGATGGAAGCAGCCTGCAAGGAGGTAAGAACCCAGCATTCAGTCTCCTGATTCCAAATCTTGCTATTTTTTGCTAGGCCAAACACCCTGTATTTTTAATCAAGGCACTTTATAATTTGATTATATAGAAGACCAATGAAAATACAGAATTTACTGTATATTTATCATAATAAACAAAAAATTAATTTTGAAAACCAAAGAATTGATCTGCAAATTATCCCAAATATTGCCCCTAAAGTCACCATCCATAGGGAAAATGGGAAATCGTAGCTAAAGTGCCTTTATTTACACCATATTCATTATGAAATTTTACAAAAAATACTTACAAAATATTCCCTACATATTGGTCACCTCTGTCAAATTTCATAATAGGCATGTTGTAAATAAAGGTACATTTAGCTACAATTTCCCATTTTTCCATTTTTCCCATATATGGCAACATTAGAGGCAACTTTTGTGACACCCTGCAGGAATAAATGTTCATTTTTATAGACTCCCATAATGGCATACTCTATGTTCCCAAGAACACTCCAATTCAGGGGCTCTCAAGGGTGGTCTCAGGCAGTTGACATCCGCATCACCTGGGAACTTGCTGCAGTGCCAATTCTCTCGTCCTACCTCCCAATGTCCTGAATCAGAAACTCTGAGGGTGAGGCAACCCATGATTTAATAAAGCTGCCAGGGAAACTGAGGCACATGCACACTAAAGCGTGAGAATCACGGCCCCCGTCTGGTCCCTTAAACATTAAACTGGTGTTTCTACAAAGGAGATTCTCATACTCCTAATTCAATCTCATTTACTTCTCACAGGCAATGTTTGCAAGGAGCATCAGAAGCAGGGAAAGTTCATCTTCCTGTGGCTTTTCAGTAGCTTGACACCCCTTCCACTTCCCTTTTTCCCAACCAATCATTTTGCTGAGATTTTTATGTTTGCTGTATTTTCACTTTAACATCTCTTGAGACAAGCAAAGCTGGAGTACATTTCCTTGGGCTGAGTTAGCACTTCCTGGCTAGGATATGATTTCTGTTAAATCCTCGCCCCATTACCTTTGAACAGCTTAACAACATCATTAATTACTATAAGTCAAAGCTGAAGGTTTTCAAAGAAATTGTAATACTTACACTTAATGGCTGTTTCAGGTCAGAAATACTGATGTGTCCTTTATAATACTTGTACCTTTTTAATACTTGTCATAATAGAATAATATATGGCTTTAATTTTGACATTGAAAAATAGAAGAAAATTCTGAAAATCGAAATGAGTTTCCCAAACATCTTTTGTAATCAGCATGCTTCACTCACAAGCATTCAAGATGAAGGACAAAAACCTATCTAGACATACAAATAATTTTTAACTTATATGAATTAAAAGTTAATAAATTATATGAGTTACATAAGTTAGTAAATTTCCACATCACCAGGAGTTGCTATTCAATGCCTTTTATTTAAGGGACTAAAAACAAAGCTGAATTATTTCAATGGATAAAAGTACATTTCTTTCTTCCTTTTTTAAAAATTATTTCTATAGGTATTTCTTTTACAGGCCGATGCTTCTTTTTGTATTTGAAGCTGGGACTCTAATAAAAATATTTCACATTATCTCAGGGTTTCTCAGAGGCTTGCAGAAGTCTGAGCCTCTTCCATTTTTTGAGATTCTTGGTATTTACATAAGCAATAATAATAGAAATGCCAAACATAGTTACGAAAACTGTGGTATATCCCAAAAGTTTAAACTAAAGCTAACCCATCTATCATATTAAAAAATTCTGCACAAGCCCTTTTGGAGATGACTGAATTTGAAGTACTTCCCAAACATGAGGCATTAAACCAGACGGTCACTCCACCCCTTCCTGGGCATTGCCACAGGTCCTTTGCTGTCTATAACGAGATATCTCTCTGGAGGGAAAAATTTTCCCTGATCTTACTCTTTCTGAATTAGGGAAAGAAGAGAGGACAGGAGGGCTACCGGGGCCAGGCTGACTGCTTGTCTGTCCTCTTCTTACCTCTCTGCTGGGCAGGCAGCCCAGCAATGAAAGGAAATATAGGCAGCCTGCCAGTCTACCATGATACTGGCTCACACGTCATGTGTGTTCTGATGGGAGCTTCTGGAACAGGGTTGTAACGTTTGACTATCTCTTGGGGAAAGCTAGCATAACCCTAAGCTGACTGTCCTTCCAGAAGGATGATTAGAAGTAGCAGTAGTTAGTGAAGGTAGCAACTCTCCCAAGAGTAATGGGAAATTTGATTACGTCTCTGATCCAATTCACCTGAAGGAAACCTCAAAATAGCTGTAAAATCACTAAACATTTTGTAGAAAAGGTTATCTGGGTTTTTTTGTTGTTGTTAGGTTTGCTTCTGGTCAGGTAAGATAGAAAAAAATTAAAAAGTAATGCCATTTCTGAACCTACTCATAGACCCTAAAACATTTAGCAATTTATAGATTCGTGAATCTTGTCCATTCTCCAAAATCATATAGAAAACCGTGCCCCCCATCCCTGTTATCAATGTATTATAAGCAACTAAAGGGCTGAAAAAGTTCCTGTTTTTCCCCTCAATATTGTTGTATCCCCAGAGCCATTTAATAGGTGTTCAAGTTTAATAGGTGTTCAATAATGTTTTGATGACTAAAAAGATGAATGTGTCAATGTTCCTAAGATGTGGCACACTTTCTTGGATAAGGAATAAATAGAAATAAATGTAGCTCCTTAAAATTCCTACAAGGCACAAGCCTTCCAGGGGAGAGTCTAATGAAAAAACAAGATAAATAAAATCAATCTAATGTATATCATCTAGACAAAGAATTATACCACCCTGACATTTTTCTAGGTTTCCAGAAGAGCAATGGCTTCAGTCACTTGTGTAGGCTCTCTGTGCATAGAACAAAAAGAGGATACAAATTCTCGACTTAATTTAAAAATTCCAGCTGAGGACATTGTGATCTACATGAAGGTCTTGTTATAAGAATCTAAAAGCGCTCATAAAGTTAGTAAACAACAGAAAGTTTTATTTCTGTATCATCTGGATCTCGTCAGTTCCAATGGTCAGAAAATGAAACCCAAGCTGCCTTAAGGCAAAAACGAATTTATTGATTAATGCGTGAACATGTCTAGAGGTAGAACCCGGGTCAGCCATAGCTGGTTTCAGAGCTCAAAAATCTCCACGTGGGCTCCAGCTCCCAGGTTTGCCTCTATAGGTCTTAGCTGCATTTTCAGAGTTCACAGGATGACATTCTGCAACGTCCAGTAGAAGACAGTCCACTTCCTAACAACGGAGGCACAGAAGTGAAGGGAGGAAGGGGAAAGGGGAAAGGGCAGGGGAAAGGGAAAACTCCCAGAACGCTGCCGCCTTGTCTCTGCTTGGCCAGACTTGGGTCACATACCCATCCCAGCTGCCAGGAGGTCCTCATAGCACCACTGGCCAGACCTAAGTACTGAGTTAACCAGCAAGTGAGAATGGCGGCTGACACGTCCTGAAACAAATGGGTTGAAGAGTGAGGTAAGGGTTGGTTCCTGCAAAACAAACGGGTATTTTGTCCTCCAGAGTCACTGCTGAGAAGCAAAAGCACAGATGTCCACCGCGAGCTATCATTAGCGGACCCCACTTATTAGAACTCTCATATGTTATGTTAGTGGAACCAAATGAGAACTTAAAAAAAAAAAAACCGGGATTTAATAAAACCGTAGTTTTGCAGGGTGTAATCTCACACCTTGAATCCAAATGTCTTTCCAGTCGCTGGCCTTCCACTTATCTTCAGGGGCTGGAACACATGGCCTTTCAAAGCTGGCGAATAGAGGGAACTCTCCCAGCCTCGCAGCCACCCGCTGCGCTCTGCCCTGTCCAGTGCCAACAGCCGGAGCGTGACCAGAGGGGACCGCGCGGGTGCGCCCCACCTTCCAGCTTCGCCTCCGGGACCGGTGCCCGTTTCCCCCGCCGCACAACCCGGCTTGTCCACGGCGGCCCCTACCGACCCACCCACAGAGGCGGTCGGCACTGGCAGGCTGGGCTGAACCCTCTGGTCTCCTAAGCCGAAGTCCGGGCATCCAGACGGGCAGGGCCGGCCGGGGAGGGAAGCCGGCCGATGGAGGCGTCTCCCGGCTCCGGCCCCGGCTCCGGCTCCCGCCCCTTCCCCGGGCGAGCGCGCGCGGGCCTGGAGCGGGGAGGCGGCGGCGCCCGCCCCGGGAGGCGGTGGCGAGGGCGGCGGCGCGGCCGGGCGGGTCCCGGAGCCGCGGATCGTGTCGGAGCGAGCGCAGGAGTCCCCCGCGCGCTCGCGGCGCTCGCCCTGCAGCCGCCGCCCGACCGGCCCGCGTCGCCGCCGTCTGCGTCCCCGGAAGCCCGGGCGCGCGGGGGGAGGGCGGCTCGCGAGTCGTCCCTGCCGGACCCCGGACGCCGCGGAGCCCCCAAGCGCCTCCCGGACGGCGGGGCCACCTGGGGTGGCCGCCGAGGCCCAGGACCCCGGGAAAGAGGACGCCCGCGGAGCGCTGCAGCCCCAGGTAACCGCGGCGGAGGAAGGGGCCGCTGGTCCTCGCCCAGAAACCTGAGCCGGGCGACTGACACCGGACTCTAAAGGTGGCCCACGGGCAGGACAAGTTTCTCTCGCCTTGAAATGAAGGGGTCCTGCACCCCGTTTTATTTAACCAGCCCCTTTTCTCCTGTTTTAAATAAGTTTATTTAGACAATGGAGAAAAAAAAAATACAGTCTCCTGGGTGACTAGGTTTGTAAATATAATCCTGAAAGTTTTGCAGAGTGTGGTTATTTGCTTATGCGCATTTATTAACCTGTTAACTCTTCAGCTAGTCAGAACATTGACATTTAAAATATTCTTTGAGGAACATTACAAGTTTGCCGTTGCGTTCGCGCGTCCTGTTATTTATCAGCTCAGTTAGCATCTGTCTTCCTGAAGTGGTACCAAAGCCGGTCCCTCGGCGACGGGGCTTGCATGTGACACTCTTGCCCTCTAGTGCCTCACCAGCTTGGTAGCAGTTTGATGGCTAATATTAATAAAATGTTATGTAACACGAGAGTACTGGGCCGGGACTGGTGTTGCTGCCACTTGTAAAGCCAAAAGCCTCCGCCGATGGTGGCAGATGCTACTGTTTCCGTTTCTTTTCCATCCATTGAAAGTTTCTCCAGCATTTCCAGCCCTTTGAACTTTAATTCCAGGTAAGTGTATTTATTTAATTACACTATACACTAATGCCCCATTCATAAATGTAGGGGCTTTTAGTAAGAGATAACAACTTTGTTTCCAATTAATTTAAAAATTTCAGGATTGAACAAGTGCTTCGTCTTATTCTTGAAGAAAAAAATACAGAGTATTTTGATTAAAATAAGTGAACAAAGGACTATCTTATCATCCAGGGGAAATTTTAAAGCTGCTTTATCCTAAGGAGATAGTCCTATAGTACCTTACAGTTGTTTGAGATCTTCACCACCAACTTAGAATTATCCTGCCACAGATTTGCTAAGCAGAGCGCGGCTGTTGCCTTGACAGAATTTTGGAAGCAACATCAGAGATTTAAAGTAACTACCTGCCCATCCACACAGTAATCATCCAAAACAAAGCTTTCTATTTGATGTAGTTTATTTTACACACATTATTTAAAATTGTAGAATTAATAAAATTAAATGTCACTCGAAATAATCAGCCTCAGTATTAAATGTAGAAGCTTTAAATGAAAAAGAGAATAGATGTATCTTCTGTTTAATGGATTCACTTTAGGGGGTGCAGGGAACAACCAACTTACATTCTAGGAGCTTTGTCTGTATCGTTTTTCCACCTAGTTTTTCTAATATGTGGGCACTATTTAAGACCCAAAGTCATTGAAAGTGGGAAATATTTCTATATGATTTATAAACATATGGGGACACAGCAACATATTAATCTGTAAGAGTTTTGAAAAACACTTCACAACAATGGAAACAGCTGCATTCTTAGTCGTATATTAAAGCACAAATCAAATATTGAGGCATGTTGCAAACTCATCTGAGACCTACTCTTTTTTTTTTTTTTTTTTTTTTTTTTTTTTGAAAATACCATATTACCCGCTAGTGAACAATGCTGTTCACCACAAGAGAGCAGAATGATAGGGAGGAGACTGTCTCAAATATCTGATATTTAGCTGAAGGAAATGTTCTATTTTCTACAACCATAGTTCATGTCAATATTTATACTTGAGAGGAATATTTCAAAAATATATTGGAAAGAGACTCCTTTTAAAATAATACTGAATGTATAAAGAGGCTCACTCTACCAACCACTTTCTATCTTTTTGCTTCTCTAGTTAACATAATATCTGTCATGTCTATGATATTGTTACTATCTTCCTTACGGTCTTGATAGTAAAGCACGAGGCTTATTTCTTTGTCTAAATAAATGTTCATTTTTAAACTAACATCAGTTCATTTTCTTCCTAGTCTTTAATAATGAAGGATTCTCCTGGTACTATACTGTTTCAAATAAAACAAAACTTTTATCTCTGCAGAAATTTCATAGAGTTTAGTTTGAATGCATTATAGTATACCTTCTCTAATACATTTTCTTAAGAAAATTATTTCTGAACATGGCAGAAGTACAGAGTTATTTTTGGTATAACTGAAAGATTTGTTGAAAAAATAGATAGTAATAACAAAAAAAAAAAAAGACAACCAGACATTAGAGGTTCTTTTTCTGAACCATATATTCTGCTGAAGAATTTCTTCTAAGCTAGAATCTGAGTATTTAATGGTTGACTTGTCATTTCACAATTTTAAATCCATAAAGAAATTATCAATTTTTCTTTTAGTTCAAGGAATCTGATTATATGACTTCTTTGAAACCTGACTGAGTCTTAGGTGCTCTTTGATGCAGCTTTTAAACTGAAACATGCATCTACTGAGGTATCAAATACATTTTTCAAAGCTATATTTAAATATTTTGTTGTTTGTATGGACTGTAAAAATCAGAGAAATAGAATTGACGATAAAAACACTGTTCTCAACTAGATGAATGCCTCGTAGACATTAGGGAAATATCCCTTGTAGACATTGCTTAGTAGACAACAGGGGAAAAAAGTGGAAGTTCCCTTTCCCTGTGCTGTGGCTATTGGAAATGAGCATTCACATTGAAATGCATGAACTCTCAACACCTGTCCAGATTGGGGATGCTTCCAGGCCCCCAAGTTAATTGCCTACATTATAATTAGTCTGAACAATGCTCAAAATTATTTTATCTCTAAAGTTTTTCTTAGCAAAGAATCAGTTTTAGAATTTGTTTGTTTGTATGTTTGTTTGCCTTTAATAAAAACGATATCCTCAGGCACCTGGATATCACAGTGAGAAAATTATCCTTTCAAGATACTCTAAACATTTGTCATAAATTTCATGTAAGTTACATGGCTGGAAAAGAAGTATTCAGGGCCCACTACAATTAATTAATGTCTATAATAAGTCGCTGTACAAAACTGCCTACAAATTACTGATGGCTATAACTCTTGCCAAACTAGAGCTTATAAGTCAACTATGGTGGTCTTATCCTAAAACATTGAAGCATCTCGGTGATGCTACATGCTACTTACATTTCAATTTTTATCATTCTGTTTGATTACAATATTTGAAAATAACATGAAAGGAGATCTCTATTCTAGGCCTGGCTCTGGAGGGGAAAGAGTGGCCTTGGACAGCTCCCTTGCAGACTCTGGAGCTAGATTTCTTCATTTGTGAAGTGAGCATCTCAGAGATCATTTCTTCTCCTGCTTGTTGTCCGACATTGTAGAAAATTCCCTGGCAGGTAGGACAAATAGACATGGCAAAAGCATACAAATGCATATGAAAAAAGCATTAGAGAATAATACAGAAATTCCTGATAGGTGCTATTGTCTAGATTTTTACTGGTAAAGATGTAAGTGATTAAAATAACAATGAACACTTATAGAATGGTTACCTTGTACCAGAGACTGTTCTAAGCACTTTACGTTTTAACTTATAACTCTGGTAATCTCCACAAAGATTCTTTGAGGTATATCCTGTTTTCATTTCACAAATGAGGAAATTGAGATGCTGAGAGGTTACCTACCTGCTTAAGACCACAACCTGGGCAAATGATGGAGCTGTATTTAGTTTGAGTCTGGCTCCACTGTGCAATTCTTTAACCATTAGATTGTGTTGTCTTCCTATAGGTTTTCAAATATTTATGCTTGAAATGCCTCTTGAGCTAATGGAGATAATCCATCTCTAGCACTTCTACTCTGGCATGTGAGATAATCATCCAGTAACCAAAAGCTATTTACTAAGTACCTACTTTTATGCCAGACATAAAGCAGTGCCTGGTACTTTCCCTAGTGAGGTATATACAGTCTGGTTTAGGTGATTTCATTCTCCTCTTCTGATACCCTAGTTGAGATGGCTGTCACTTATTCCATGAGGTTTCCAAGGTAGCAGAAGAAGAATTTATCTGACTTCACTGACGTACCATAGAATAGAGACTAATAGAGCCAGGACTTCCAGCCTCTTGGGGACTCCTTATCAGATTTCTCCATTGCTCCTTCTGTTCTTGTTCCATCCTCTTCTCTCTGCAGATTGGCTGCCTTTCCTTCTTATTCATCTACTTTCCCAAATACATAGTCAACAACTTTACATCTTATGGTCCAGGCAACCAATATCCACAATTCTGATGAAAGACAAAGGTAATAAGGCTTGTATTAGATCTTCAAAGCTGCACTGACGGTACTCATAGTGCCTTGTTGTTAGGCAGTGATGTGTGCATTGTGGGTCAACCTAAGAGCATGGGGAGATATTTGCCCCCTTAAGTCAGACAGCAAGAACAAACAGCAAACAGCCGTAGAGTGGGTTTTCTTCCCTTGCCCCACTGGATGGTGTAACACTGAGGGAGGTGAACAAAACGTATTCTTCCCTTCATAATTTCTAAATAGAAGAGGGAGGGACCCTTGCAATAGAAAGTCACGTTCCATTTCATCTACCAAACAAAGCTAATGCCAAGTGCAGCTTTTCTCCCGTCCATCTTTTAAAAAATGCAATTCTAAAGGCAGAGCATATTCTTGGTGGTACTCCATGCAAATCAGCTTCTGAGTTGCCTACCCCAGCAGGGTTCAGTTAACATGACACAGTTAACCACGTTCTTTCCTGAAGAAAAGCGTCTTCTTTGCCGATTTTTAATGTTACCAAATTACTTTTAGCAAGTTCACATAATGCATTTGAGACATCCAAATAGATTTTTCAGCACTACAAAATAGGGTTTTGTAGTTCATTCCTTTTTGAGAAAGAGGAATATTGTCAAGATCTTTTAAATATCTTTCATTTATGTTAGAACCTGAAGCTCTTCAGTTATTAATACTCATTTTCCAGATGGTAATCTTTTTTCACATTTCTTATACTGCCAACTCGAACATGATTCTGTTTCATTTAGAAATTGATTTTTACTTTGGGATGATGGTGGGTGTTCCTGGAAGAGAAGAGATGGGTTACATTGACAAGTAAGCACTTCCTCTCGCAGATATGGCAGTATTTTGTGAAAGGAACGTTTGAGTATATTTGCTTTTTCACTGTGTCTGTGGAATTGTCTGGGATCCCCCAAACTAATTTCTCCCTCTGCCTTTTGTTAATAGTAAATAATTCATGTTTCTTTGGTGGAGAGTCTTTTTAAAAAAAAAAAAAAAAAACAGATGTATTGCAAAGCTCTTCTCTTCACACCAAATTCTGGGAAGTCTCAGGATGGGAAAGATAGGTAGTTGAGTAAAATTCAGTGAAAGGCGCATTCTGGGTGTGCTTGATTTATAACTCTGATCAAGATGGTTGCTGCGCCTCACAATGTTTATATCATCGCCTTGACTGTTTGAGGCCAAAGTGACTGATGGAGAAGTCTGTGGAAGATGGTTTGACTTGAGCACTGCCCTGGTTTATGAATGCAGCTGCTATTTGTAAAATGTAGTAGAGGCCTTTTTATCCACTCATTCAACAAGTATCCCATGGGCTGTTCTTATTCCAAGTACTGTGTGAATATAGAGGTGAACAGGACAAAAAGTTACAGAAGATCTCATGACTAATTATAACTGTGGAACATGCTACAGAGATGAAGTGTGGATGTGAGAATGTGTAACAGAGAGGTCTGACAGATTAGAGAAGATTTCTGTGAGAAAGGGACATTTATACTTAGAAGTGTAGAATTT